TATATATATATATATATATGTATATATTATATATATATATATAATTATATATATATATATAATAATATTATATATATATTTTTTTTTAAATATATATATATATATATATATATATATATATATATATATATATAATATATGTATATCATATATGTATATATACATAATATATATTGATGTTTTATGATATCATCCATGGTGGTGGGATTAAGAATTTATGGTATGTGGTATTTTTGTTATCTTTATGTTATATGTGATACAAGTTGCAAATGTTTGTGTCAGATTCTTTCATCTTTCATGGGAGGGCCCTTTCTTCTCAAACTTCATTATTTCCTGCTTGGATTCTTCTTCATCAGTGAGGCACAGTGGTTCATCTTGGAATTTTTTTTACCATCCATAATTCCCTTCATTGTATATTATCTAGCTTTGCAACAGTGCATCAGCAAAATCTCAAACGTACTAACAAAAAGTACATTAAATATATAGAGAAGTGCCAGTCTCCTGTTGATTAGTTCTTTTCTTGCCTGGATATTGTTCTGCAAAATGGATTATTTTGAAACATCCTATGCCAGAATGGTTGTGCATCCCCTGCCCATACTAAGTGGTATGATATTTTAAAAGGTGTTTCTCTGAAGCTTTTGATCTCGGCAAACCCAGGGCATCTTCGAAGGTTAATGAAAGCAACACAGTTTATGAAGTGTTTCATTCATAAAGCTGCTGTAGATGTTTTAATAAGAATTTGTACATATAGAAAATATGCAACTATTAAAATAATACTTTAAAAACTTTTTAAAAAAATCAATTATAAAACATAAATCAATGAATTTAAAGTGTCACTAATTATTGAAAAAAGCACAGCTTTTGTCCTGTGACACAAGGTTGCAGAAAATGAGAAGGGAGAGAAGATAAAAAATAATACATGCAGTATTGCTTCCAAATGAACAAGCTAACAGAGCAAAACAAAAACAAACTGAGCAGCCTGGCTCAGTCTTCCCTAGACTTGCTAGAGGAAGGCGTGCCAATGACGCAAGACAAACATAGGGAGCAGCCTACCTTGTCTACCCTAGACTTGCTAGAGGAAGGTGTACCACTTTTGCTGCCTGAGCACAGTGAGGCATGTCAGTAAGCTGTTTACAAACTAAAGGGATCTTCATATACTATATTTAGCAAAATGGTATGAAATGAACTTAGAATGTGACAAAATATCAACTAGGTAATGAAACCAAGGATGTGGTGTTACTCCATTCCAGTCTATTTCCTGCATCTAAATTCCTGATAATTAATGTTCAACTTTTTTTATTGATTTTATATTCAAAGCCTTCTTTATATTTTACCCAACATCCACTTTTCCTCCAGGTACAACAAAATATGGACAATATCTGTTCACAAATATTTCATAAAAAAAATTCACATTAACTAAAGTATGTATAGAACAGTGTTAAGTAGGTAATGTCAGAAATAAAACAAAGAGATGAAAATGCAATAAGAAAATGCAAAATGTCCAACAGCCCAGCCTAACCAGAAACATAAAATAGTGAATGACAAAAGCAAAAACATCAGGTAAAGGCATGATGGATTAATTGAAGCTCAATCTTTTGGCAAACAATGAAGTTCTTGAAACCTTAACAAACCTTAAGTCAACACATTGATGAGTTCTTTGCTGACTTGAGAAGATGAGAAACTCTATTAGGATTGATGACTTCAATTTAGATGTTTAACACAACAGGGAACATGAAGGAAGCTGCCCTGCATACCCCATTACATTTTGTTATAATATTAGTATTATAACTATTGAAGTCTGGACAATCTGGATACATAGAAGGTCCTGTCACCTCCTAGACTTTAATCACGCAATTGATTATCAATATTAATATTTGACCTTGTTTCTGCAATAGTATTTATTCTTCAGGAGTTCACAGTTTTCTTTAATTCAATTATGTTTCTTGTATTTCATTTATTACATTAATACTGGCATAAGTGATCGGAAAATTAAAATCATTATCAGATTTGCTATTCATTTTAAAGAATGGTTAGCAGGCTAGCTGGCAGGGTTGTGTCACCTCTGATAATCAATAAAAACATTTTGATAAAATTTGAACAAAAGTATTTGTATCTTTTCCATTCTACTTTCTATCAACTCAAAATTACTTTTCACATGTCCCATTAATCACAGTGAAACTGTCATATGTGATTAGTTGGATTCTCTACTTTTATGGAGTTAGTTAGTAGCACCACCACCAATGTTCACAAATTGATTGATGATCATAATCAAATGGTGGGGAGTGAAAGAAGCATATTCTCTCATTAAAAAAATTACTTTGGCTTTACCATTATTTTTGCTTTATTTTTGCAATGACCATGGTAATCATAATCATCTTCTATCTTAAAAGCCTTCCTGTAAAAATTAATGATAAAGTATATTGTGGTATAAACATTTTTCATCTATATCTCTTGCTCTCATTTTATAGCTAAAGCCTCTCCATATCTTCTATATTTTTTACATGGGCACAGTCACAATTGCATAAAGGAATATTTGTATTTCAAACTAACTGCAAAATTACATCTGGCTCAATAACATGTGCATCTAAGGCACTAATGAAAGGGTGCAAAGCCTCCTATACATCCAGATTTAACAGACCATAGTTTAATAAATTCTGGCAAAGTTCCAACAATAAAAAATACAGGATCTGAATAAGGACAAAGTAAAATAAGAAACAAATAATTCACACTTCCCCCCCTTCCCCCTACCACCACTGTCAGTAATTCTGTAACATTGACTTCCTATGTTTACTGAAGACTGGAGCAATGCGATACTGATATGTATTTCCCTCTACATATCCATTGTTATTCATTCTGCTTCTCAGTTCTTCAATGGTTGGATGGGATGACTTGAAAGCTGTCTGTCCTCGGCTGGCCTCTTGCTCCCACCTCGTTCGCAAAGCTGTCACATGGCCTGGAAAGCAACAGCATTATATTTGGAGTCAAAGTACTATATTCAAGAATGTCATATTCAACATTCCAATTTAACTAATATCCACACATGTAAATTTTAAGCAAACCAGTAACTAACATTTTTAAGATAAATTTTCACTACTGTCTGGAAAGTACCATTCAAATTTTGCACTTATTCAGAATGCAGTTTTATATCAGTCAGATAATAACATCCCTTCAGGCATGAAAATTAATCAAACCAACTATAATTTGACTCCTATAACAAGACAAGAAATGGCATCCTACCAGACAACTCTGAGTCTGTGTTCTGAGAAGAATCAGGTGGAGTTGTGCTTCCTGTTGGTGACACAAAAGAGCACGTAGCACAGCAAGTATGATGATGATGAGGGTGCACTGGGCTGCCTCCATCCTTTTGAGCAGCCTTCTGAGACTCAATTAAAGTCTCTAGATCCTCTACAATCTGCATGTAGATTACAACAAAAATAATGAACAAGCTACAAGGATCTCTGTATACGAAATGAAAAATAAAAACATTAAGATGGAACAGCAGACCCACAACTAAAGTTCATATAGTTCACTTTTCTTGCAAAGGAAATCCTATCCCATTCACTTTCCATTTTGTTCACCATCTCTTTTCCAATCTCCTTTTTCTCTCGCCCTTTTCCCTCTCCCTTAAAACAAAATCATTGTGTGGTTGAAGAAGACTGGTATGCAATCCAGATAACAAAATAAGGCCCAGAGAATAAAGTAATCAGTCAATAAAACAATATAAATTGGAAATTAAATACAAAATATTGACACTGATAATCAGACAAAAACAAGAGAATATTCAATAAAATTGTGACTCCCCTACCTGCGAAAAATCAGGTCTTTCTTCAGGTACCTTATGCCATGAGTTCTCCAGTAGTGTTGCTACTTCTTTGGGAAAGGCCATGTCAAGGGGAGGCCGACTGTGTCTGTGAAAAATATAATTTTTTCTCAGAAATTACATATCTAAATATGTATGTAATATTGCTTGTAGAAGTTGCATTCCCCCAGTAGGTAGGAGTCCTACATGTGTGGCATCATTGTCCTCCCACATCTAACCCCCTTCCTTCAGCCAATGTGTTCTACCATATCTTTATACCTCACTACTTCTCTTTTTCTTTCCCTTTTTCTCTCCCTTCCTTCCTTCCTTCCTTTTTCATAAAGTCTCCTTCCATTTTCATAAAGGATATCAAGATAAAATCAATAAAGGATACTTTGGTATACAGGGGGGGACACAGTAACTCATATATTTCTAAGTGGTAAAAGTGAGGTCACTCTACTTCTCCTCCCTCTTCTTGATCACATTCCTCTCTTTCCCAAGAGACAAAGCTAGTTATATTTGATCAAGTAATCAAATTGCATCCTCATTTTGAAATTTTGCCTTACTTGTATGCCATGTCAGCAGCTGCAGCAGCAGGCTTGAGGTGTGCAAAAGGAAGTTCAGAAGCTAGAAGTTCCCACAGACAAAGTCCAAATGAAAATACATCAGCTTTAATTGAGTATCTGGTGCACTGGAAAAAAATGAATCTTATAAACTAAGTGAGGGCATACATATACTTTACATGAAACATATATACATATCTCAAAGTATCCAAAACCTTTGCACTAGCTGGGTTATAACAGAAGGTCTTCTCTTACCTGTGTAAATACTTCAGGTGCCATCCAGCGAAGATTACCTGGCTGTTTAGTCATATTTTCTTCAAGTATATTTCGTACAAATCTTGATTCCCCAAAATCCGCAACTCTAGCTCGACACTGTTAACACAGAGACACCTAAACATTCCTTTTTGGTAAATTATTGTGGTTTTTAGTTTTTTGTCTTTAAATTCACACATCTCTGAGATTATATATTGAAAGTTTCTTTGTTTTTTTCCTATTCTTAAACAAATATCAATGCAACAAAACTCACATCATTGCTTAGAAGAATATTATGGGAATTCAAGTCTCTGTGAATTATAGGTTGTGGCAGTGTGTGTAGATACAGCATGCCATTTGCTACATCAAGAGCTATCTGTAGTCTAGTCACTGTGTCAATTGACCTCTTCTGTTCATGTAGAGTGCTGAACAGGGAACCTCCCGCAACATATTCCGTAACAATCGCAAATTGCTGTTAAAATAATTTCTTTCTTTAAAAACATGTATAATTTATTTATCATTATCCAAATTTCAGATGATACAAATATCACATATAGTAACCAAGTTACTCAACTTACACTTGGGTCCTGTAAACAAGCACCAACAAACTTAACAATGTAAGGGGAGTCAAGAGACCCAAGAACGGACACCTCACGGCAGAACATTTCAACGTCACTTTTACCATAGGACATGTTAGCTCTGTATCTCTTCACAGCAACAACTTTGTCTTCATATTTTCCCTGAAAATTAAATAATTTCTCATCATTATTTCATGATAAACTATGTTTTCAAATGAAAAAAGCTTATAACTATATAAATAGGTAGAGGAATCATGTATACAAAAGATAGGAAATAAGTATCATTTGGTAAGAGACCTTACCTTGTAAATTTTTCCAAATGAACCAGATCCAATATTTTCCATATTATCTATATCTGACAGACTGAGATGTAATTCTGGTGGCAATACTGATCGAAGATGTAGTACATCTATCTTTTCTGGAAAATAAGAAAAAAATTTATGGAAGTTTACCATGAAGAGATAATTACATTATGAAGCTCTTTGCAATATATCACAAATGTTACACTTTATTCATAACCTCTGATTAATGTCAGTCATATAAAATATTACTTTTGTACCTTGAATCATTGTTCGCAGTTTGCCAATTGGTGAAGGAATGGGAAAGTATGTAGTTTCAAGACCTGACAAATAGTCTCCTCTAGCATAATCTTCATATAAACCTGGTCTTCTGAAATACTTGAGAATGCTGGCAATGTCATCATACCCTTTCTCATATGCCCACATGAGTGGTGTCTGCTCTTCCTGTATGATCTTAAAAAAGGAGCATTATATTACTCATCACATTACTGAGCCTTATTAGAATTCTACCACATGGAGCTTTCAGATGCTCTACTCTTCCCAATAATAACAAAGAAAGAAACATAAAATTGCACATAAAAAGATATATATGTCTCCTCGCAGGTTTAGATATCATCTTAAAGAAATTCAAATTATACCTTTTTCTCACTGTTCAAGATCCGATCGTGAGCTGTAAGGTTGGTGTCAGCTCCATGACTAAGTAGTAGCTGGACAATCTTTGCATGCCCATGGTAACATGCAGAGTGTAAAGGTGTGTGACCATCTGGACTCTGCAAAAATACTAGATTTACAGAATCAAAGTTTTTTTCTTTAATAAGTACCTAGCAGAAAACAGTTCAATAATGCATAATAGTTGGCATGAAAACTGTGTAATATAGTTTTATATAGTTGTATATATTTTACCTGTGCCAGGAACACTAATGGAGTCTAGGTATAAGAAAAACCTATTTAAATATACAAACCTGATAATTAATCAAAGCAGGATCTTGACTTAATAAGAAATCCACAAGATCTATGCTTTGACCCCCTGTGCAAGCTGCTTGTACTGCTATTTCACCCCACAGGTTTTCCTTCAGCAACAGGCTTGAACCTCCATATGTCAGCAGGGCCTTTGCACATTCAAACCATCCATGATAACAAGCTCTGACAAAAAATATAAAGAAATCAATTATATGATTTTATGAAAGGAAAAATGATAGTGTATTCATGCTCTCATATATAGAGTCCACTGTATTTCAATATATAATGTGAAAACAGTAAATATATAGTTGTCATTTTGCCAAATAATAGTATCATAATCATCTAAAAAACTTATTTTGTCCTATAAAGCCATGAGAGTCCTATAAATGTTTTTGAGGGCTTCTAAATATCCAAGTGCAAGGAAAGTTACCCCAGTTTGTATGGAATTTGAAATTACATAGAGATAGTGGATGAAATATATGAGAATAGCTTTTCTCTTTACTATATGCATATATCAAAAAACTTAGAAATTGTTTTTTTTATTTTGGATATAGCACAGATCCTATTAGAGAACTTCCATAGTCCATCACAGTGAGTATCTACTTCATTTCCCACCCAGAGTAACTAATATCTCTACCACTTTTCAACATATACAAAAAATAACTAATCTCAGATCAAATATGTAAAAAAGAAATATCCAAACAACTTGGACCAGGTCACGTCAGAAAAAACAATGAAGTGAATGAGAAATCAAACCACTCAACTTACCTCAAAACTACCAGAATGACTATTTATTAAAAATATGAAACTATGAAAAAGACATGAATGAAAAAAATCTCTTTACATGGATAATAACATAAGGCAAATATCAAAACTACATTTCCTACTCACTGGTGACATATTCCATACTTACACATGAAGAGGAGTGTCAAGATAGACATTTGTAATGTGGGCATCAGATCGAAACTGTGGTTGCAGCAGTAAATTTAAAATATTAGAATGACCATTTCGAACACAGCAATGCAAAGCTGTGTTGCCTTCCTCATCTTGAATTCGAACTGTTTGGGAGATAAATCTCTAATCGATATAAGCACAAAATTTATGTATGTATTAAAATCATCCATAAATGTATTTCTGCAACAACAATATAATTTAATAAAATTATGATTAACTAAGGTAAATCATTTCAAAAATAACCAGAATAAAAGTTACGCTACTAAAATAAGATACAGAAAATGTAGTTTTGATGAAGACTTTTCGTTGTATACCATTTTTATATGCAATTTGCTTTAATTGATATATGAATTGCAAATCAGAGAAACCCCATATATTTGTGTGTGAGTGTGTGTGTGTGTGTGTGTGTGTTGTGTGTGTGCTGTGGTGTGTGTGTGTGTGTTGTGTGAGTGTGTGTGTGTGTGTGTCGTGTGTGTGTGTGTGTGTGTGTGTGTGTTGTGTGTGTGTAGTGTGTGTGTGTGCATGTGTTGTGTGTGTGTGTGTGTGTGTGTGTGTGTTGGTGTTGTGTGTGTGTGCAGTGTGTGTGTGTGCATGTGTGCATGTGTGTGTGTGTGTGTGTGTGTGTGTGTGTGTGTGTGTGTGTGTGTGTGTGTGTGTGTGTGTGTGTGTGTGTGCTGTGTGGTGTGTGTGTGTGTGTGTGTTGTGTGTGTGTGTGTGTGTGTGTGTGGTGTGTGTGTCATGTGTGTGTGTGTGCATGTGTGTGGTGTGTGCATGTGTGTGTGTGTGCATGTGTGTTGTGTGTGCATGTGTGTGTGTGGTGCATGTGTGTGTGTGCATGTCTGTGTGTGTTCATGTGTGTGTCTGTGTTTGTTTGAAACTGTGTGTCTGTGTTTGTGAACTCTACTCTTTCTCTAAGCTCAGCCCACTTCTTGTCTCATTTTTGATCATTCATGTGAAGCATAATGCATGACCCTTACTATTTATCCATAGACTGAGCTGACCTTAGTTATGTCCTGGTTTCATCCAATTTCCACAAGTTATGATCAGAACTAGATACTACCTATATTGTTATCTAAATAAATCAATATCTGAGCAGTATGAAATGAAAGGTGTAAGGGAGGATTTTAAAAATTAGTAACAATAATTGAAAAAGCAGAAACGAGGAAAAAGAAATGTATCTGGCACTAACCTCTTGCTCCTTTCTTGAGAAGCATCTGTACTACCTTGTAGTAGCCAAATGTGCTGGCTAAATGGAGTGGCCGGTCACCTACAGAGCCTGCTATATTGACGTCAACTCCACGAGAAAGTAAATATTCCACAACCTGATTAAAGCATAAATAATACCCATTACTTACTCAGGAAGGAGTGCTATTCCTGAACTTTGTGATATGAAAGACATTTCCATTTCAGTGTGGCACATTCAGGAAAAAGGTTTTTAGTATACTGTGTCCATACTATGGTACCTACTCAAAAAATGCACAAAAAATATGTTCCTGGAATAGCTGGTACTGACAATCATCCCGTTTATGATAATTCCCACTATATTACTGACAACAATAATGGTAATACCAATTGTAATTAATATAATATGAATAAAGCTAAAACTGTTTAAGCAAATAATATTAATATAGTCATATTAGGTAGTGCTGACCCTTTGATGTTAAAATTAGCATATAGTACTAAGTACTAGCTATAAAATCAGCCTTTGCAGACAAGACCTGGGATGATTGTTTGAGCTATTTCTTTGGAAAAATGTGTTTTATATGCCTTCAAATACAGTATATCTTTTACTGGATAAAAATAATATTATCAATTACCTAAAGCCAAATATGTCTTTCAAAAACTATTATTAGATTAATAATTAATTTCATCGGTCAGGTATTCTTCAGTTGAATTTATATAATTCTTGATGGAAAAGTAAATATAAGCTGTTATGTCAACAGTGACATAACAGCTGAATTTCCAATTACTGGTCCTAATATCGTGTGGCCTTGCTGTTTCATTTCAGACACACCAAGAATGGTCTACTGGTCAAAGTTTTATAGTGGTACAAACTGTATCCCTACTTCTTTAATTCTCATCACTGATGTCTATAAAGCCTCACATCAGGTGCCTATCAAAATGTTATAAGTCTGAGAGAACCTGACATGTGCAACTTGAGAATTTTGACATTGACAGGTAATATCCTCACCGATTCATTTCCGAAAAGGCAAGCAATGTGAAGGGGAGAAAACGACACAGCATCTCTGGCCTCTATGTTTGCCCCACGCTGAGCCAGTGCTCTTGTGACCTCCAGGTGGCCAGCCATGCAAGATATATGCAGTGCAGTAACACTTCCCGCTCCTGTGTGGTCAAGGTGGCTACACTTTTCCAGGAGGAGACGAACCAGATCCACATCCCCCTGTAAGGGAGATTGTATACAAAAAATACTTGTTTCACTATTTTGTATGTGGATCCCAATCTTTACAATATTCTGGACTGTGAAATTTAATGGTAGAAAGATGACTTAAAAGAAGAAAAATATATTATGCATCAGCAATAAAAAGAATAGCAGTAATATTATGGTTATTACAAAGAAAAAATAACAATCCTGCA